AAGCACCAGCCTGAAGATGGCGAGTGGGACCTTGTCGAAACATTGCCAAGATGCTCTCACTCTTACATGGGAAAAGACCCGAACACGCCAAGACCTGCGTGTGTGTGTGTGTGTGTGTGTGTGTGTGTGTGTGTATTGTTATATAGATATGGACAGTTGGCACGTCCAGGATCCCACACCATCACAGGGGCAGGAACCCTATGAATAACTCTCTCTCCCCCTTTTGTTTTAATTGATTTGAATTAAATTTGTTTATAAAATTTGAGAGGATTACACTATGTTGTTACTGAATATTATAATTCCTCCTGTTGAATTGACTCAATATTCTAGATGAATAAAAAACCAATTTACATTTAATCCAATTCTTTATGTAAGGACAACTGAGAAACCATAGGCCCTCCACAGCTTTCTGAGCAGGCTAACACACACACACACACACACACACACACACACACACACAATCTATATCTATATCTATATCTATATCTATATTATCTATCTATCTATCTATCTATCTATCTATCTATCTATCTATCTATCTATCTATCTATCTCCTGTGAGGGCAGCCAACAACAACAAAGCTTTTTATCTCCCCGAAACCGGAGTAAAGGGAGTTAAATGTCCTTATTTCCCTCTATAACTGCACAATGTGCTAAGAGGTGATTAAAGCCTCTCACAGGATACTGGCGAACCAGTGAATGGCCCCACCATGCAACGTGAAAAAATGGCAGTGTCCGTTAAAAAGCGTGCCAAAATGGTCTTATTTTTTTAGGCGCGAACACAGCAGCAGCCTCTGCCACTCAGCCTGTCTGATAAGAAAGCTACTGTGTGACTGAGCAGCGAGGAGGGGATAAGAGAGGCTCCGAAGCCCCCACTCCCTGTGTTCTCCGAGGGGAGGAAATCACCACTGGCAAAATGAATTAGAGACAAATAAGCACGCTTCCTTAAAAACGGTTTGCAGGTCAGATCACAATGGCAAGGTAAAGGCGTTTGGCAAAGAAATGTAAAACAGAGTTCTCTCCTAGAGAAGCAACTGCCATGACCAGGAAAATCCCAAAACCCCTGAGGCTACTAAAGTGGCCAGATCGCCAAGGCGATCTGCTTTCTGTCGTTCCGACTGCTTCCTTGCCAATTGCAGTTGGAACTTAGTAAATAGAAACCTAAATTTGGAAATCTGTTCTGATCAAACTAATTCAAACCAGAGGTGGTATTCAGCAGGTTCTGACCAGTTCTGGAGAACTGGTAGCAGAAATTTTGAGTAGTTCCGAGAACTGGCAAATGCCACCATTGACTGGCCCCACCCCCATCTATTTTCTGCCTCCTGAGTCCCAACTGATTGGCTTTGTTGCCCTGCACAGGAGAACGGAGCTGGAAAGCAGGTTAGTGTGGTGGGATGGGAATGGAAATTTTGCAGTAACCTTCCCCCAGGAGTGGCGAGGGAATGGAGATTTTACAGTATCCTTCCCCTGCTATGTCCACCAAGCCACGCCCACCAAGCCATGCCCATAGAACCGGTAGTAAAAAAAAAATGAATCCCACCACTGATTCAAACATTTAAATCCTGCTCCAGCCAAAGAAAAGCTGCCTATCACACCAAAGGCTGAGCTAAAATTGGGGGACGCTAGGGAGGAGCCAGGGAGGAGCAACAGCATCCTAACAGTTAAGCCCAGCCTATCCAAGCAGAGACTAAGCACCGCCCACTCTCTGGATGCTCGGAGCAGCTCAATGGAGAAGTGGGCCTTGAAGCAATATTCTGAGGCAAAAACTATGTCCCGCTCACTTTAGAAAATGTGCTATTAGCTCAGAAAAAAAACTTATTGCTAGAAAGGGGTTATTTAATGAGGAGGAGTTAGAGTATAGGAAATTCTAATTTGAAGAAATAAGAGCTTCATAAAAGGTTATTTCCTGATGAAAGACAGGAAAATAATGATGCACTCTGTGTCCTTCATTTATGTGGTATATTTCAGGAGGTTCAGAGAAAATTTATCCTCTTTGGATCCAAGAGTGGCATGCTTCATTTATCTCAGAGCTGTTTTGCCTTACATATTTTTATATCAGACTAATTTGTTTCCATCATAATACCCAAACTGAAATTTGAAAGAACCGAGATACCCAAATCTAAGAAAAACAGCTCATTTATAAAGCTTCCAACTAATTTTTTTTGGCAAATGTACTCATCCGTAAGAGTATTCAATCAAGCAATAAAGGTAATTACAAACCATGTACCCTGCACAGCAAGAACAAAATCATTAAAGCCAGAGAGGCTATTCTTAGTTTAATCTGTGAAATTACCTACTATTGCACACATTTTATACATCACTGAAGACATGTTTTAAATGAAAAGAATGTGGTTTTTAATTGCTTTGTAGAAACCAATATCCAATCAATTTTTTTCCTGACAACAGTAAACATAAGTAAAGTTAATTACTGCTGCCCCAAATCCAGATTTAACTATGCTTAGAGCTGATCCAAATCATAAAATTCTGCATGTTACAGTAATAAACCTGGAAACAAGGAACGAAGACCGTTTTTAAATGGTTCTTTTAAAAAGACATAGCAATTCCACGTGGATGATAGTATTGACCACATTTGTGAATTAAAAGATCATCATCTAACAATCAGTGATGAAATAGCATAAGCCAGGACTTCTCAAATGGCTTTCCCCAGTGTACTGGAGAAGAAGCATTCGCTAACAGCTAATCACAAGTAAACCCCATTTGAAAGTAGAGTACAAATTTCTAAGAAAGCTGCATTGTTACAAAATATCCAGAAATCTAAAAATCCTGGCTAGGACCGTTCTGAGAAGGAGGATCCATGTGCATGGCTGGGAAGGAAGGAAGTGTGGCCAGCAGTGCTCTTGAGAAGCAGAGTCTGGTGAAGAACAGAGCTGCCTTTTTTCCTTTTGAGCACCAGATCCAGAAGGCCTGGGATTTAATGGATGCTAACCTGGCTGGAGGGAAAGGGGGCAATCCCTCCCAGGAGATACGGTTTCGGGAGTTGTTCAGGACAAGCCACATCAAGAGAGAGCATCAGACACTCTAATGGCCTTGTCTTCATCTCCTGGAACCTCAGTTCTTTGTAGCAGAGGATTAACAGTGGTTGAGCTTCCAACTCAGGTAGAAGGATTCTCCTCTCCCTTAAAATGACAGTCTGATCTATTGGATAAAACCCCAATAACAAAAGGCAAGACAAGAAAGAATGCATAGAAACTAAGCAAGGAGATAAGCAAGCTAGAACTAAGGAAATTTTTTTAATAGTAAGAGCAATTGACAATGGAATGGCTTGCCTTCAGAAGTTTTGAGTGCTCCATCACCGGAGGCTTTTAAGAAAAGACTGGACAGCCATTTGTCTGGAATGATATAAGGTCTCCAGCTTGAGCAGGGAGTTGGGCTAGAAGACCTCCAAGGTCCCTTCAACTCTGTTATCTAAATTTGCATCTAGAGAACACACAACTTTAGTATTACTTTAGTATTCAGCGCTATCTGTTTTGCTATTTTTGCACAAGTTATGCAAATCTATTCAAAGTTTCTCCATATGAGAAGATCCTTTGATATAACAAGACAGTTACCCAAATAAGCAAAAAGTACTTTCAAATACATCATTTCCATTTTCCTCAAAATAATGCCCTCCTTCCACAGTCTCAAATTAAGTCATTGCCTATTTAGACGTAACCTGATGAGTACAGGTTGATGTAACTTTCATAACATATTGGTTAATTCCCATTACAAGTTTTTTACTTCATATAAAAGTAAAAAAGGTATCCCTTCGTTTAGTGCCTGTTTAAAGTTACTTTCCTGGGGGACTCATGACCAGGTTCTGAAATTCTCATTCCCCCCCCCCCCCCATAATCATCTGACAGTGTTTGCCAAAAGCTGACATTTATTTCTGATTTTTGGTGAAACTGGCTCATAGCAAATCATTAGTTCACTTAATGTCAGCTGCAAAAAAGGTCATAAAATTGGGTTGTGACCTGATTTACAACCATCACAACTTATGATTGTGATGAGAAGTGTACATTATAGTTATAGTTGAAGACTGTCTGTGTTTTTGAAGTTATTTAACTTTAAGCTACAATATTTTAAAAAATATTTAAAGCTGAAATGAAAACATAAAAAGCAGCCTATATTAAAATTCAAACTAAGAAAGAAAAGGAGAAATTAAAAAAAACTACCTTATGCTTATTAATAGTACTTGTTTACTAATGCACCATTATAAGAAATACAAAATATTTTGTAAAATATTACAAAATTGCAAGCAGCTTTAGTCAGTAATAACTCCTGATTACTTCCTGGATGAGTTGCTTTATATATCAAATTTCTACACTACATTGATACCTGAGCAGCTCTGGACTTTTTTTGATAAAATTTTGGAAGTGCCATTGTCTTCTTCCCTGAGGGCTGAGAAGATATAACTGGCCCAAAGGCTGCCTTAGGTATTGTGCCTAAGGAAGGAGTACAATTCTTGGTCTCCTAGTTTCTAGGTTGGTGCCTTAACCACTGCACTAACATGCTTTAGTTGTGAAGATAGCACCTCTGTTATGATTTGGGAAGGAAGGAAAATTCGTAAAACTGTCATTACATAACAACTGGTTTAAAGTTATGAACCGTTCTTCTATCCAAACTTTCTAATCAAAAGTTTTACACCAATTTTCAAAGTAGAATTTATCAAAAGAAATATTCATGGCTTATCAAAACTAAATCTATATTCTCATATGGCTCAAAGATTAATCACCATTCTACTTTTATCGCTTTAATTAATTAATATAAGCTACACTTAAAACTCCTGTAATAGAGTTTTCATTGACCTTGAACTATTAATTTAAAAAAATTAAACTATTTTTTTAAATACCGGTATTTACTTGAGAAAACACTGACTTTTAAAAATAGCCATACTTTCAGAGGATCATTTGTATTAAGCAACACTGCTATTAAAATACCTAAAATGTCTAAAATTTGTTTGAAGAATTTGAAAAACGATAAATACAGCATGTCTGGACTCACAGAACTAGGACTGGAATGCCGTCTGATTTTCGGAGATTCCTTCTCAGCTGATGAAGATTTGAAATTAATGCAGGCGTTGTTCTCTGAATGAACTCTTTTTACTTGATTATTTGGCTTCTCAAATGGGTCAAAAGTGCTTTGTGTCCTCTGAACTCTGACTTTTTTGTCTTCTGGAATTGTGTCCAAAGGTTTGATCACAGAATCCATTCCTTGGCAATTCCGTGTGGACATCTTTGTGACACATATCTAAGAAAGGAGACAAAATGTTTTTAATGTTTATTTAATTAGCTAAAATGTTTTTATGGCAGGATAAGAAAATATACTCCTACATTCCATAATTCTTTACAGGTAGTACTTGACTTAAGACCACTACTGAGCACCAAAATTCTGTTGCTATGTGAGACATTTGTTAAATGAGTTTTGCCCCATTTTACAACCTTTCTTGCCCCCGTTAAGTGAATCACTGAGTTGTTTAATTAGTAAGATGGTTGTTAAGTGAATCTCCCTTCCTCGTTGACTTTGCTTGTCAGATCATAAAACATAATCACATAATCTGAACACTGCAACCATCATAAATATGAAACAATTGCCAATTTTGATCACGTCATGATCCAACATGTAGAGGTTGCAATGGTTGTAAGTGTGAAAAGCAATCATGTAACCTTTTTAAATGCCATTGTGACTTTGAAGGATTCTATATAAGATAATTCTGAATTAAAGTGTGTATGCATTAATGACAGCAAGATTACTTAGAATTAAAAAATGGCTTCCAAAAAAGTAAACATATTGGAAAACTGGTAACCACAGGTCTAATAAACCATTTTAAATTTTATATGCAAATTTATATACTTTTCTTCTCCCCAATTTTTCTTTATATTAAATGAATCCACAAGCTTAGGAAACATCAAGATTAACCATTTAGTTTTCTACAATTAAAAGTTAATAAAATACTATTATTTGAAAACTTCTAACTTCTAATTGTAGCACATATCACATTATAAGCGCAAAAAAATTTCATGTATTATTATTCAAAAAATCAGATACTTAGTCCAATATGTCAAAGTCAATAAAACACTTAAAAATCAACAATCTAATATTCTGCTCACTGTTTATGTGGATATAAATAGAATTGGACCAAGTTTCAGTGGGGAGCAAGTATTTGTGAGTATATCATACAAAACTACAATGAGCTGAAGACCATTTTTAATGTTAAAATCCTCCAAACCCATCTTGAGATATTTTTTTAATAAAAAGCTTTCCTGTATAAGCAGGAGACTTTCTAAAGTTACTTTCTATCATTCCATTCCTTACAATTTTTTAAATTGATTTTGTCACTTTACTCAATTTATAGTACTTAGAAAATTTTCTGAGAGCATCATTTTTAATACTTTACAGGAATGGAGTGGTCTAGTCAGACAATAATCTGTAAGAAATACCAATATGATCTTTCCAGATAACTGAATAAGGGCTCCTCATAAAACAAAAATGAAAAACTAGTCCAAAACATACATCCTTACGTGGTGGGTGGGTGGATGGATGGCTGATAGATAATAATTTCACATGTAACAGCAAAATACATTAATAAAATTTTATGTCATATACAGGTAATCCTCGAGTTATGAATGTAATGGAGCCTGCCAATTACATTCATAACCCAAATTTTTGGGGGGTGAATCATGTCAAATGAACATAATCACTCCCTACTTTCACCCATGCGTTTGCTAATCAAATGTGCAGATCAAGTGCACATGAGGTATCTCAGAGTGGGAAGGCCATGGGGGACCTAGCTATGGAACAGGCCACCTGCTTAAGGCCACCCAAGGCCTTCCCCAGCCCACTGAGATATCTCATGCTCCCTTCCCTGGGATACCCACAATTGCTCACCACCATCCCATCCTCCTGCGAAGGGTAACTTCCTTGTGAAGATCTAGCAAGCTATCTCCACTCCAGCTTCTCTGCATGGTTTCTTTGCCTACTTGCAGTCTCAGTACAAAAAATGTTTGCAAGTGGACCAGACTTTGGAGCAGCATAATTGCATTGCTCCAAGTCGTCTTGCAAATGTATTTAACGCCGAGACTGGAAGCTTCTGGAGACAATGATCTCACATGAGATCACTGCCCTCAGAAGCTTTCAATCTTAGCACAAAAAGTGTTTGCAAGCCAATGGGACTTGAAGCAATGTGATTTTGCTGCCCCAAAGGTTTGTTGGATTGCAAACAGTCTTTGGCCAGATCAGTTGTCTGCCTCAGTTCACTGAAAACAAAAACTTAAAGTACTGTAGTGCGAAATCACACAAGATGATCTCGTGTGATCTCACACTACAGTACTTTAGGCCTCTGTCCTCTACAAACAGAAGCCTGCAAAACCTTTTCCAGATCTCGTACAGTCCTTGGTTCACTGAGAACAGAGCCCTACAGTACTATAGTACTAGATCACACGAAATCAGTAGCATGAGATCTCAAGCTATTGATCTCACATTACTTTAGGCCTCTATTGTCCATGAATGCACCAAAGTAGCAAAGGAACCAACGGTTCACTGGATTGTTGCAAGGTAAGTGAGTCTCCATAGGCCCAGTTCCTGTGGACCAGTGGGGGGAGGGGGGAATAGGCAGGATGCATGTTACAGTGCTTCTACAGTCATTCGTAAGTGTAAAGAACTGCCATGGTTCATGCCAACATTCATAACTTCAGGACTGTGTCACAAGTACTTGGTGGTGGTGGTGGGTATTATATCATAACTTCAAACGGTTGCAAAGTGAACTGTTGTAATTTAAAGTATGTATAGCCAAAGTATTAGAATCTTCAATAGATTAACTGTCCTGATATTAATGCAAATAATTGAGTTTATTTAATCCAACTGGATTGCACTAATTAATTATTGATGGAAATTTTCACAACTAACAATAGTTTGCAAAATTGTACTTATTAGTTTTTGTTGCAAGAAATATGTTTTACAAAATTATTGCAAATTGGTTTAAATTACCTTTTAAAAAAAAGGAAAATAAAAAAATATATTGTAAAATGCTTCAGGATTTTTCTTCATTTAAAACCAAATTTGATTAATATTATATAAAATTCTGATATCAAGTATACAAAGATGTTTTGCATGTCTTAAAACATGAGCTGGAGGGAAAATGAATTAGTATTCTTTGACAAATAGTAATACTTTTACTTTTTTTGGCATGTTATCAAAAAGTAACCATGAATAAAATTTACTTTGCTAGAAGTACACTGTAATCTTTATTATTCTATCAGAAAATTTATAAATAAAGCAATATATTATCATTTTGTGGAATTCCTAAATTAGTTAGGCTTGTAAACCAAAAGTTCTCCAATAATTGGCAATTACACTTGAGCCATAGTATCACCAAAAGTTGGACGATTGAATGCATAACCTCATCATCATTTAAAAGTCATATAGTATTAAAACCCCATCAAACAATTGTAAGAAGCAGTAAATACATACATTTTCATTTTAACATGGAAAATATCAATAAATATAATTAATGTAGACAAAAGCTCTTTTGGTTTCCTCCATAATTTTTAAAAATTGAGAGGGGTCCCAAGGAAAAATTTGAGATATACTGCCTTAGGAGATATCCTCAACTTCAAAACCTTTACTATTAATATATGAATTTATCTCAGCATTTTGGTCATTACCAAGTTGGAAAGCTATAGAAACTGATGCAGTAACTACAGAAACAGGGCAAGCAACAAAAGAATCTGTAAAGGTTCTATGTCAGCAAATATGGAGAATGAGACATAGGTCAACAGAATGGAAGAAGTTAATCTACATACAAACATTAAAGAAAATAGACTTAATAGAGTGTAGTACAATGACCTTAACTTAACAGGCTAGAAAAATAATTCTTAGCATCATACAACAAGAGGAGATCCCAAGTGTTCAGAAGATATTATTGCTGATATACACTGAATAACTAAAGAAGCTAACTGAAAAAAATCCCAAGGATGTCAAAAAGAAATCAATATGTTTCATAAATTTAAAAAGCCTTCATTGTGTCATTCAACTGTGGAAAATGGGAATCTCAGAACATCTTACTGTCCTCATTTGAAATCTATACCACACACCAGGAAACCACACAGTGTGGGCAAACATGGTATAAAACACTGGTTCCAGGTTAACAAAGGAGTGAGATAAAGCTGCATAACTGTTCCTTTTTTATTCTACATATATTCTGAATTTATCTTGAAGTAAATTGGATTGGAAAAAGATGAAAAGTTTTAAACTTAGAGAAATAAATATTAATAACTTGCACTGTGCATATGATAAAGCTGGAAGCTGAAAATTAAAAGGATCCCAATCCTCAATTCATGTAGTAGAAAAATGGGTCTAAATTTAATATTAAGATCAGCAAACTAATGACAATAAGTAGAGGAACCAGCTTCATAATTGGCAATGAAGATATCACAATGATGGGTAGCCTCTCTCTTTTAGGATCAACCATCAATAGCAAAGGAACAGAAATACATCACACCACAGACTAACACTTGGTAAAGGAGAAATAAGGACATGGAAAAGATATTCAAATTCTGTGATATGTATATACCTGCAAGCCATAGTATTCTTTTTTTTTAAACAAATTTTATTAATTTTAAAGACAAACAAACCATCATTAACCATTAATACATGAACCTCTTTCCATTATAAATTTTACAAGTCAAATAAAACATTTTATACAATATAATTCTATTTTAGACCATTTCCATATGAGCATACAAATATCTCTTATCCAATTTCTCTTTATTACTCTTTACTCTTATCCAATTTCACTATTATTATTTTTCTCTATATTTATCCAATTTATAATTATCATCTATTTCTCTCTGACTTGGTTACCATTATTCTCATTCTATATTCCTGCAAGGTTTTATTAATTCTCCCACATACATAAACACACAAAACACAAAAATATAAAAGATCTTTTAGGAAAGTAACTTGGCCCCAGAAACCTCTCTCTACATGGACTTCAATTATATTCATGCTCATCTTACATGCCATTACCTATTTTATTTACCATTCTATATCTTCTAAATTTGCTTCTCCACACATTTCACTCTTCTTAATTCTATCTTATTTAATTCATTTTAATTTAAGTCATTATATTTGTATCCTTTGTCCATTCTTTATTATCCATTTGTCTCATTCCCTATAGTAAAAAGAAAAAAGAGTTTCTCCTGAAATCACTAATCAGAGTATGATGCCTTTCTATCATCCCCCTAAATTAA